TAAACTTTAAAATAATATTTTGATAATATACAGCTGTAAGACAACGAATCCTACTTTAGTTTATATTATTTAAACTTTAAAATAATATTTTGATAATATACAGCTGTAAGACAACGAATCCTACTTTAGTTTATATTATTTAAACTTTAAAATAATATTTTGATAATATACAGCTGTAAGACAACGAACCCTACTTTAGTTTATATTATTTAAACTTAAAATAATATTTTGATAATATACAGCTGTAAGACAACGAACCCTACTTTAGTTTATATTATTTAAACTTTAAAATAATATTTTGATAATATACAGCTGTAAGACAAAGTAATAATATAAAATCCTGCACTTCATTATGTAAAGTATCATATATATTACGTGAATATCAGTTATAAACACATATTTCTGAATTTACTATATACAACCACAGTATGGTTTTTAGATGCTATTGTCAGTCGAAATAACATTTATAGTTTTTAACACATTAATAGTTTAGCTTTGTTAGTTAATCATAACATCTTTGTATTAACGTTTTATTATACTTTAAATATTTAAATACAAATTTACAGAGAAAAAAAGTTTTAATTAACTCGGAGTTAATCTATTAAGTCCCTGGTGGCAAGTTTAATGTTTATCGTCTGTTTCTTGCCATTATATATTGATTTATATGAATAAAGTTTCAGACATTGTTTACAAATTCGAGCTTACTTCAATATAACAAGATGAACAATTATTAGGTATTGTTGTACCTGAATAAGAATGCTGATATATTTATAAGCGTTTCTCTATTCGCTATTACCCCCAGTGTTTGGTTACCTTTACTAATTATTGTTATTACGAAGTTTAATAACGAGTTGGGTATTTTCTATATAGCTGATGTGAGTGCACTGGTGACATCTGGCATTTGACGATATCCTTTATACCATCTTTTGTAAGAGTACCCAAAACATAATTTAAACTGATCGTTGTAACGAAGTTTGAGGTTATTTGGATTGTTAGGTTTTACGCAGTGATGATATGTAACAACTACTTTAATTAACACTTCAAAATACAACGGGCAATTCCTATATATATATTACTGTACAAATATAGCTGTAGGTTACTTAAGTATATAAGATTTAGCAGCTGGTGTTTATAGATCAAACCTTTGGTTTTTTACAGGTCATTTAGTATACCAAAGTGTTGTAGGAGGGTTTGCCGAGCTGTCCTGTAATTTTTCTCCAGTCTACGAAGATAAAGTTTCTCTCATACTGTGGTATAAAGACAACGCTACGAAACCAATTTATATCTTGGATGCTAGAAACGGCATCAGAAACGAGCCTAAGCATCTTCCCAGTGGAACATTAAGCAACAGGTCCTACTACAACGTCTCCGTTTCGCCCTCCGTCCTGCAATTATGGGACGTTAGAGAAGACGATAAGGGGAAGTTCAAATGTCGAGTTGATTACAGGCACGAGCCCACTGAATACTTCTTCGTTCTTCTCGACGTCATCGGTAAGACACTTCAAGTTCTTTGAAGCATAAAATAATTTAGTATTTGCTACACTAGGTAATATACCAACAACGTTAAAGTAACTATACAGTTATTCAGCTCGAAAACTAAACTTTTAACACAACTTAGTGAAGGCTTAGCGAAATCACATAGAACAAAATCGCTGTTCAATAAGATTATGACAAACACGTGTTTCAGGTCTGGTGAATTTCATGCTGTACGTGCTTGAGTATTGAATCACGAAGACGATTATAAAATAATCCTAGATACCGCCTTACCATGTACATTCTGTAATTCAGCTTCTAACAAACAGTTCCCCCCTACCGACAAAATAAGGAAGTCAACTGTAGCTTGAGCACCAGTAACACGAAAGATTATGTAACCAAATGTATCTTAGAATTAAATGAATCATTAAATATCATCTTACTTCAAAAACAAGCCTAGTTTTAAACCGGTTTAAGTTACTTCATGATTTAAACATGTGACATTGTGTGTATATCGCTTAGAGTACTAAAAGAAAATAAATAGACAGTTACTATTGAACAGAGGTTCTACTTGAATGTAAGGTTAAAGGCGAGTTTCATTCAAATGGATAAAAACAAGACGTTTGTTCCACAAAGTTATACTTCCAGTTACAAATAAACAAGTTAGGCTTGGTTCCTTTCTATATTATATTTGTTAGTTCTCCAATGGGCATGTGATTTCATTTCAAATAGACAAAGGGTCGGTTAGTCCATACAAGTTCTCATTTTCTCATATCCAAAACTACATAAACCCATTTCCTTATATAACCGAAAAAAAGTTTTTAAACTAATATTTATTTTTTAATACAAGAAAATGTTAATGGTTAATTAAATTTTTGCTAAGAAAATTTAGATGAAATACACAATCTCACTAGTTACCATTGTCAGTAGAGCCATTAAAGATTCCAATGACAGTATTTGATACACGATGTTTTAATGCTATAACCCTTAATGTTAAGATTATACCTTGGTTTATTTTACTATCTTTACTGGTTTTCAGTAGATAGCATGCAAGATAAACATGTCTTAAAATTTTCCTGAAAATGCTCGTGATTTCACTGTTCTCGTGTACCGATAATACCTTATTATTAAAACTTTAAGTTCCGATAAGTGGAATTATAAATAGATGTAATCTAACAAAAAAAAAATATTGCTTATTCATATTTGAAGATTCGAAAAATAAGTACAAATTATTAAGTCTTACCTTACTTTCAAACCATGAAAAGTGGAGATATCCCTGCTCTGCTAGATCATCTACAATAAAGACAGCAAATGAAGACACTTCATGAAATAAGGTTTAGAAAGCCTTTGTGTGACATTGATAATCAGTGTTATCCTTGGAACTTTTATGGAAAGTCTCCAGAATTTTATTCTCACTTTCTACTAAACCCTCATGGAAGACCAATTATATCCACATCTATTTCTCTTTCCATAACATTTTCTTTTTTTCAATATAAAGACCTCAAATGTACCCTCAAACTAAATATTTGCTGGACTAAAACAAAAATAGGGACTTCACTAAAAATAAATTGAGAAATCCAAGTCGACTTATGAAAAACCTCTATCTAATAACGTTAAAACTAATAGAAAGGATTTTTCTTAATATGTTAAAGGTAAGCAAAATATTGAAATTGAAATAAAGCTCTTGATGGATGCTGACGACAGGGTTTTGGTAAAGACTATGGACTGAACTATTAAATCCTCTGTTCTGTTTTTTTTAGAAGAGAATACCACTAATATTATGACTGATATCAATCACTTAGATATTAATCCCTTGGTGATATAGATGATGATTCAAAATTCAACAAACACAAAGCAGCAGAACAAACAGCGTTTACTCCATGGTTTTCAAGGGGGTCAAAACTCGGATACAAGACCCTCTCTCATCGTTGTTGGTCAATAGACAGTGGGCAGATAAGCACCCTAGTATTGGAGGATTACTGATGTTACTCTTACATCTAAAGGAATTGATACAGTTGTTGAACATTTTAAACAAGTTAGTCTTAGTTCTGTAGTGTTATAGAACCTGATAAAATATTATATTACAAAAGGGAAATCTTCCCTTACTAATTTGTTGAAGAATGTTGTGTATTTTAATGACGTATAGGTTGAGGACTGTATATTTGGATTCTTCCAAAAGTTTCTGACAAAATGCCACACTAAACATTAGCTAACAGAATTATATCAATAGGGATTACGGAAAGACAAGCAAATTAAATTGTAGGAAGAAGAGATGAAAAGAAAACCAAGTCAACTGGACTCTTGTTACTATTGTAGTGCCCCAGGGGTCAGGTCAACGGGCTTTTGCTTTTTTCTTATTTACATTAATGACATTGACAGAGGCATAATTAGTCAAACGTGTGGATTAGATCAAACAATTGCATATTTCTAGCTGTATTGAAGATGTTGAAGTATTACAAAGTCGTTTGGATCAATTGGCTATTTGGATAAATATTTTATAAGTTACTTTTAAAGGAAGTTTAGGATAATTCGTTTGAACCACACGTTTAATAAATTGGAAATCACTCAATAGCGTGCCTGAAAAAAAGTCATTCAAGCCATCAATGTGTTTATCTGTTGTTAGTACCACAGTTAGTATAATTTTAGGATGTGTTTACCAACATTAATTATAAATTAAAAGAGGTAAATTATCTTAACATAAATCACTAGTTAGGACTCACTTGTAATGTTGTACACAACAACATTGGTTTCCTTATTTAAGAAACAATACTGACTCATTGAGTGGGTTCTGAGGATAGGAGGATTATCTCAAAGGAATAATCTCTTGAGGTAATATTTGATTTTATTGAACTTACAAGATTATCCAGTTAAGTTTGTTTGTTTGTTTTGAATTTCGCGCAAAGCTACACGAGGGCTATCTGCGCTAGCCGTCCCTAATTTAGCAGTGTAAGACTAGAGGGAAGGCAGCTAGTCATCACCACCCACCGCCAACTCTTGGGCTACTCTTTTACCAACGAATTGACCAATGGATTGACCGTCACATAATAACACCCCCACGGCTGAAAGGGCGAGCATGTTTGGTGTAACGGGGATTCGAACCCGCGACCCTCAGATTGCGAGTCGAGTGCCTTAACCACCTGGCCATGCCGGGCCTAATCCATTTAAGACAATTATATTCTTCTAACAGACGTCATTGGCTTATGGATTGAGTTTCATTAAAAATACTGGAGGCCAGCACTTCACAAGTTTAAAAGAGAAGTCGATGATTACTTAAAAAATAAAGGGTGTATTTGTTGAGTGTACAGGAACGATCTTGAAGAACCAAATGGTCCTTGTCCGTATAGAAACAACTGGATGAATTTACTTTTGTAAAAACTTTTTGACTTCGCTTAGAATTTAGTCTTCAGAAATATTTGTCCTCAATTGCTAAAGTTCAATAACTAGAAAAAGAGGCTTACACTTAAGTCATGTTTAAAAAACTATCAAATCAAATGAAGACATCCATCTGTCAAAGGTGCTTAAGTTGTTTGTTTGTTTTACGTGATTATCATCCATTGTGCTACTACGTGATTATTTTTTTTTTTTGCTATTATCAACAGTCACATTTCTATGTATACGGTGTTAGCCTAGTGCTGTAAGTTGTGTAAAAACCATCGTTGTTTTTATGACTTAACATATCAATAGCTGTTTTTAAGTGCGTAAGAGACAACACTGAAACGTAAAGCAATTACACAATATCAGAAATTACTGAAGTTAATTCTGAAGTTCCAAGAAAAATCAGTAGTCCTAGTTTTCATTGACTGAAAACAGAATACTAAAAGGCTTTTATTCCAAACTGTCGGACCATAAACTAAGCTCCTGAAATATCGAACGCTAAAGTTATCAACGCAGTTATGTGAAGTTGCAGACGCGTGCCACAAAAATTAAACAATAGTATTATTATATGTAAGGTTTGAATCTGCACATTGTTCAGTGTGTTTGCCACGGAATAGTTTACAGGGAATTCTGTAAAAAACATTGGACTGACCCGGAGCTAAGTTGATGAAAGGGGTAATTTCTAATTCATCAACACCTTTGTATATAATAATAATTTCTACTTTACAGTAGATTAAGTAACGTTTATCACAAGTCTTAGTTATTCATTTATGACGTAATATAAAGGTTATTCAAATATACTGATAATTCAAGTTACAATCTTCATGCTTCGTTTCTTTAAAACACTAGTTTAATCTGGTTTATTTCTTTGATCAGTCAATCTTTTAACACACTTTGCAGCAAGCCAGCTACATATTGAGACTATAATTTCCAGTAATTGTTGTAACAGAAATTTTTTAATTATAATTTTACATTAAGCAAATATAATAAAAAAACAGTGATTATGGTATTTCATTAAAATAGTCATTTGATTTGCACGAACTTAAAATTTATTTTATACGAGTAATAATTATTCACATATCAACACTCATTTCGTTAATCTTCCAAGTCCATGATCGCTTATTTTCTGAAGAAAATTTTAGCCTCATTTTTCCTTTCCGTTATACTTATATTGTGCATGTTCAAAGTATTTCTTTCGTGAGATTTTGTAAGCACATTTGACATCAAACTAAGCACGTTCTCGTGCGGATTGTAATGCAAGATAAATGAACTGTTATTTTTTAGTAAATACTTAACACGTACATAAATTTATTCACTTACTTAAATGATTCAAGTAGACTTGAAACAAGAAAATGTTGTTTTTGTATATTCTTATGTGCAAGTGCAGTATTGCCATGGTCCATATTTAACAAAATTCAAGGACAACAAGGGACTTGTTGGTCCACCTTGGTTTCATCCATGAGACTAAACCAAAATTTAAAAAACTCAAAACAAACCTTCAAGTAGTTATCAAACCTCCCCTTAAATTTACTACATCCACCGCATTTGAAGGAAATCCATTCCAAAAACAAACCACCCTGTCAGAAAAATACAACTGTCTTAATTGAAGACTACTCCTACCTTACCAACATTTATGTGTCGCC